GAAAGACTTTTCTATTAAGTCTAAGCTTTATAGAAAATAATAATAGTCCTAAATCTTTTATAACGCTAGCCGAGAGATATCTATACTAATAACTAATAAGTATAGCGATATATGCTATAGTTTAAACAAAACTTAATATAATTTTTAGTATTTAATAATTTTCTTAATACCTTTAAGTTTCTACTATAACGCACTTTAAAGTAATTAAATTATTTATTTCCTACTTACTTTCCATAGTAAATTTAATTATTAATTACGGTTCGAACCGAGACTTAATACCTATTAGGTTTATTAATAGTAACTAGGTAAGGTATAATAATAATATTAAATCTACTTTTAATTAATTATTTACTTTTACCGAAGGACCTATTAATTAAAAGTTTAAAAAAGCTTTTACTATTTTTTATAGTACTTTCGAAGCCGAATTTACGGTACTTATTAAAAGAGTAAAGGAAATTATGTAGATTAGGGGATTATTTTAAGAGATTAGTAAACTTATTTAACTATTTACCCCTTTACTATATAATAATAAAGGCGCTATTAAAACGGTATACAATACTAAATACTACCGCCGAACGAAATACATACTTATTAAATTCTATAGAGTTAAGGAAGTAGTGGCGACTAGAATAGTAACTATTACCTACCTGCCCACCGATTAAATACCTACTAATAGGCTTATAAAAACATTATTAGTAGCCCTCTTTATTAAGTTTATAAGACTTTTAAATTTAAATAAGCCGTTCTAATATATTACGTATTACAGCTATAAAGGGGGTGTTAAAATATAGTATTTATTTATGGATTTTATAGTACTTATTTATAGAATTCTACGCTTATATTACTCCCAATAATTCCCCCACTCGCGTTCCTAACGGCTCGCCCACAGCGGCTCGCCCTTAAGCTACGAGAAGCTTTATAAGTAATATAAGCGTTTTATTAATAAGCTTATTACCTTATAACCTTACCGAACTAGAGATTTAAGTTACTAGGGTTACCAAACGATATAGAGCGATAAGGATAATAAAGAAGTTTAGGTACTTATAAAGAGCCCTCTTCTAATCGTAATAATTTTCCTACTTCTTCCTTTCTTTAAAAAAAATAATAAATTAAGTTAATTAAATAGATTAATTATTTACAGTACCTTGTGTGAGACTACAATATCTCAATATACTTTTTTCTATATTTGCAGGAAGTTCCTGTTACACTTTTTTCCTTCGATAACCACGTCGTCGTATTCAGTAGTACAGTCCGAGACTCGCTAAGACCTTGGGTAATTGCTTCCCCTTCCTGAGACCTCTGTGGTACAGAGCTCTCAACGACCTTATTCCAACAGGTCATCTTAACAATTATTTATATAGCTAATTTACTTAATAATTTAGTAAGTTATATATAAGAAGATATATATAACACTGGGCTATATATCGCGCTATATCTCTATTGAAAATATAATATATAGCTCAAATGTCATCTATATTAATTAAATATCATTACTTCAATCGTTTAATTTGTCCGGTTATTCTGCTCCCTGTGCTAAACCGGCTAAATCCTAGTTACTGCAGTGCCTTCGCGGTAACCTGTCCTTTTTGTTTCGACTCTCTCTTCGACCTTTATATAGGGATAATGTATTCGGTAGATTATCTGTGGAATTGTATCCTGGTGAACTCCGGCGCATGCCTCGGACAAGATGAAGAGCCTATATTGGTCATTCGCGGTATCATTGATCCTCGGAAGATCCTCTGCAGCATGGAGACATATTGAAGAGAGGCGATTGAGAGAAGCATTGGACTCCAGTGCATATACACTGGCCGCATGTGAGTCACTATTGCTGCCTCAGTGTGTATGTTCGATGTGCTGATTTTCTCTCTCAGTTATTCTCGTAAGTGCATCGCCTTTCTCTTTCCCCCGCCAATACACCTGAATGCAAGTCCACCTATGCAAGCCCACTGATACTTCGTCCCCATGTAGCCTTCGCAGTAAGTTAGCTAACTAGTACTCTGGGATCTGTTCAAATTGCTGTGCTGATGTCTAGTGGACTACGATAGGAAGGCTAGTCAAGATCTCGAAGAACAATGGCTTGCCCTCCAGGAAGCTGAAAAGGATGACGATAACATTGTTAGCTTCGATTGTGCCATGCACAGAGAATTCTGTCAGCAACTCAACATACCTTCGTACCCAACCATCAAAATATATCACCGGGATGGCAGAATTGATCAGTACAGAGGGAAACACAAAGCTAGAGAGTACAGTTTAGACCCTTCCCCCTTCATGTTCATTTCTAATTCTGTTCATCCACCAGACTAGCCATGTTTCGGAATCGTGTCATCCGCCCTTCCTTCCTCGAGGCCGACGCTCAACTGCTAGAGCATTTTATCCTGTTGGATGACGTTGTCATAGTCATGCACCCTCTTGCCCAGTCTGACAACTGGAATATTTATGACCGCTTCACTGCCCTGGCAGCCAGGTATAGGGACCGGTTCACCTTTCTGATAGGTCCATCTGTTACAGAGAGCCGCCCCGCCGCCGTCATCTGCTACAACAATCTCGACGATGTGAAGCATGTGGCTACCGATACCCAGACCACTCAGGCCCTGGAGGACTTTGTCGTTTTGTGTGCGGAGCCCCTCATCCCCGAACTGACCACAATCAACAAGGCCGAATACATCTCGGTAAGCATCCTTGCCAGAATTCAAGTCACAGAACGACTAGACTCACCAAAAGGCCATATGCCCACAGACAGGTAAAAACGTTCTCCACTATTTTGCCAGCACAGAGGCAGAAAAGGAGGCGTACAGGGCGGAAATACGGCCCTTGGCGAAGAAATACTCTGGCAAATTGAAGTTTATCATCAGGGACTTGAATGAATATTCTGATTTGTTGGGTGGGAGCGGAGGAGCAACAGACTCGACAACGGCATTGGTACTCGAAAATTCCGCAGCTGGTGCTTTGTATCCTTTTCCAGGGAGTGTCAAACTCATGGCAGATGATGTCGAGAGACATCTGATCGACATCAGCAGCGGCAAATTGCAACCCGCAAACAGAAGCCCTGGCAAGGAGCAACATGAATCAGGACATGACGAGCTTTGATACACACACATCAGCAAATTTATTCATTCCCAGCAATCACCGCTAGCGGCGGGAAAAAGGACACGCATGATCAGCGCAGCTCTTGATATCTATTATAGAGATTCTGGTAACATGGTAGTGACATGCTGGTCAAATATAGGAACATGTAGCAAGCAGGGGAAACAACGGAAAGACTCCGCCAAAATGAAAGACTTGATTTGAAAATAGGGGCCAGCCCTGTACATGCTATGTTGACGCTATCCATACTTGTTACCGGTCACCACTGCGCATGGCATATCCCCAGATCATGGCCCAGGTGCCTGTTGCAGAGATGTAGGTAGTTGGGCTGAAGACAGGTCACCGGTGGGTGATTTAGTAGACTCGACTTTTGGGACCGACATAGGACTCAACCCTCCACAAAATGTCGAAGCGCCCGGGACCACGCTGGCAACCGGCACCTTCTGAAGTCCAAGGCCGGTAAGTAGGATAGAAGTTCCGAATTCAACAGCTGGAAATGGCAGTGAAGCGGTGAGTGCAGCTAGGTTGAGCCTGACTTCGGCGACGTCTCGAATGTTCCCCAATCCCCGGAGTAGGCGGGAAGCCTCAGCGGCACCAAGATGGCGGGCGCTCATGGATGCTAACTGCAGTGAGCCGACGGTAACAAGATCCGAAGGTTGCGACGAAAACACGGGGAATAGGTCTGACTCTGTATCCGATGTCGATATCTCGTCCTGGTCACGTGGCGTGCCAGAAAGAAAACTACAGCCACTCGGCCGCCTGCTCTGCTCGCTACTTGAAAATCCGGTGGAGATAGTCGAGACACCGGACGCCCGGCGGTGGGTAGTTTGGTTGGCCTGTCTGGTAGACGCTGGGGATACAGGCTCAGAGTCGGACGAACAAAATCCTGGACGCGGAGCTGATGCCTGAGGCAGTTGAGACCAACGGGTCCCTGGCTTGGAGGCGGCCTGTATGGGTGACTGATATCCAGTAAGCGGAGACAAACTTGACGGAGAATCGGTGAGGCCTTGCTGACACAAAACCGGGCTGGCCGTCAACGTGAGTTCAAAGAGGACGGCAGTGAAGACCATATACGGTAACAAGGGTGGCAGATATGCAATGAAGTTCCGGGCTTGGTAAGTGCCAGTGAGCGAAATGATGGCTTCTGAAGCTCGGTGACATATGACACTGGGCCTGGCACCACCAGACAGTTTCGGGGTAGTGCCATCCACGAGGTTATTCGAGTTCGAGACAAAGGGCCGCATCAAATTGAGCATGCAGAAATGGTACCAAATCCTGGAAGCCATGACCAGCAGAGATTAGTATATACTACAAGCCGACGACGGCAACAAAAGCCCGGGGTTGGAGAGTAAGGGCATACTGTGCGAGCAGTGTGTCCTGTGAGGGACTGGAGGCTGGCGCTAACGATTCTAGAAACTGGCGATATGAGCACACACATCTGTCGTATGCACTCTCGAGATCACTGGCGGTCATGGCTCGAGAGTAATTATAAGACAGAAAGGTGTGTGCTGTCTCCATGACCTCAAAGATAAACCTCGATGATGGCGGACAAAACCGCAACTCGGCAAAGAACTGCGTCTGGAGCGCGATGCCTACAGCAGCAACACATTAGCCAGCAAAACCTGGAAGCCGCGGAGAATGGATTGGGCACAACAAACCTCGCTCCACTCGTGTTTGGGGCGTATCCTCGTCAAGACTCGCGGGGTTAGGCTGAAGTCGGATGAACAACGGCCCAACTTTTGGCTCGAGATCTCCCGTCAAGAGGCGAAGGAACCTGGCATATTAAGTTTCTTCAGGTTAGAGGGGATCCAAGCGACAGCCGACCCAAAGGGTAACAGACCTCATGAGAGAAAATACACCACAGTATGCCAGTGCTCGCACTACTCTGAAATCCTCGTCTTCCTTCCTGTCCAGATCACGAGCTTCCAAGACAAGATGAACTGACGCCCTTACCGACTCCCGGAGGAGGGTTTCGGCCTCTTCATCGTTCCCTTGGCTCATCTCCCCCAGAGCAAGGATGGCGAGAGCTGTATGCTTGGGAGATTCACGTGGCTATCCTCAGCCGCTAGCAGCCTCTTGGCCTCACCAACAAAGGCGTCGCCGATAGCTGATCCTCGAAATGAGCTGAGATGTTGCGTTGAAGAGCCTACATGCTGTGCCGAGGATGGCGTTCACAAGCGCTTCTGAGCAGTACCGCGCAGTGCCCTCTTCAAAATCATGAATGAAGTGCGCGTAAGAAATCAATGACAAGCACGGAAAGAGTCCCGAGAAGAATCTCGAAAGGAGTCGCTGGACAAGATGCTTGTCGGATGTAACAGTAGTCCAGGTCCGAACAGGAGGCCCATAGGGGGTTAGATTCGGAACAAGACGACAAGCCGCGGGTCCAGCCATGTCCAGTGGGTGGTTCATGGTATGGGAGGAGTTGTCTGTGGGCGACAGGGACGGGCAAACAAAGGTCCCGTGTTTTTGCAATGATATACGATCTCCAGGAGCGACCAAGTCAGCGTAAAAACTTGGACGAGAAGCTCCCTCCATGGCGCTGGTGACGTGACATATGTTGGTACCGCCGTTTCCGACGTTGCCTGGCCCATTATTCGTAGTGAATGCATCAAGGACATCCGATCCTGCTTCTGGGAAGCCGCCGGTAGGCACATTCCCTATTCCGGGCATCGTTGGGTTGAATTGTGACTGGAAGGGTGTGGGTATAAAGTTGTTTAGCCCACTGGCAGGCGTACTCCCAAATAGACCCCGGTGGGTCTGTGAAGAATCCGGCAAACCTCTCAGTGAGCGAATCCATTCTGCAATGGCATCGGGGGATTCATCGGCGCGCATGCGGTCCTGAACTACTTCCCACTGGTCCGGCTTGTTGTCAACAAGTGCTTGGATAACTGCCTCGCCTTGCCGCTGCTCTGCCCTCAGCCTTTCAATTTCGGATCGCAGGTGGTCTTTGGTCCTCCATTTCTTATCCTCGTAGGAGCACTCCTCGCCCCTTGACCTGCATCGGCGACATGGTATCTGTCCATCACACTGATGGAAGTTTGTCAGTGATATTGTCGGCAGAGAGAGGTATGACTGGGACCTCGAAAATGGGGAAGGAGATGCTCTGTTACCTTGGTTCTCTTTTTTCGGCATACCAAACAAGCGTTTGGGGTGAGATGTTGCCTAGGCATCTTGTGACATGGGAACACAGAAAGCCGTAGATGATTGCTCGTTGTGGTGCCCCATGCTTTGTTGGCACAGAGATGCGCAATGATCGCCTCGGCGCTGGCAGTCGGGCGAGGGGAGCACAAGACCAAAGATATCGTTCAAGTAACGATCAACTGTACTCATTAAAGGACAACCCGCTGAGTCGGACCATAGGCCCATCGCAGCCCTGCTGCGCCGAAAGTGATAAGGCCGGGGTTGGAATTAGGAGGAGCCGAGCTGGGAACTGTTGTCAAAGGAAATCGCCAGCGGACTCTCGAAGACTGTTCGGCAGGAGATGTTATCAATATGGGACCAACTGGGGTTATCGAGCCTGGGCATGGACGACATGCGGGTACTGCAAGCCCAGTGACCTGCTTTGTTGTCGCGTACGGAGGTGAGCCTCCAAGAGACATGTCGAAACAGTCCCCCAACTGCCCCGCGGAAACCCTGCCGGTGGACATGATAGTTTGGTCACGGACATGGAGCTGATGACTGGCGTGCTTCGTCTCAGTTACGGTTGAGATGTTTGACTAGGAGTTCCCTACTGCAGCTCTGCTTGGGAGGTGAGGGGCTCGCTACCTCCTGGGATAGGTGACATGGAGTTTATTACCTCAATTGGCGAGATGCCCTTGAGTTGTCAGAAGCCAGAGCGAAGAGGTGGGAACCATGATGACTGATGACGACAGACAGCCGCACTGTGTACCACATATTGCTGCAACTTGGGCGTATATACACGTCGTACCATTGGTTTCTTGGCCGAGTCTTCCTGGCAGGTTCATGCAATGGAGACCTCGACTCCTTCTCGGGAGATCAGCAAACTCGAGAGCTGAGTTGACTGATAGCTGGATGTGAAAATATCACGTGGCCGAAAGAGCCTTATTATAGCAGCCACAGATGAGCCTGGGTTGCCAAGGACGGATGAGTACGATAGTACTACCTACCTAACCAAGGTCTGTGGGTACCTTTATGATGGTGTGGTGACTGTTGCCGACGCTCACCAGAGAGTGCACAGATGATGGATCGTAGTTTGTGGGGATGAGGAGAGGAACCATGCTGTCAGTGCACCGGCTGCGCTAATTATTCCATCGCATCGAATGGCCAGGGACGAGGAACGTCAGCGTGAGCAGAGGAGACGAAAGGTGGTTGTGCTCAGGGATGGCACGTGACCTGATAGACTGAGGCCCCACATTAACTTTTCGCGGCCAGGATTTCTGTCAACGGCGAGCACCTTGGTGGACAGCCAAACAGCCAACACGCAGGAGTGCTTGCTTCTTGTTGTCCCACCACACACTCCCACTGCCTGCCCAACATGCAGCCCACGAGGTGCCTGCTCAAGCGCTCGGTCTGGAAAGGTCAGTTGCAGCACTTTGTTCTTGACGATGGACTGACTTGGCTTACTGACTGGTCTAGGCCCGCACATTGTCCCGTAAGGCCATCAAACCCCCGTCCTCCCGCGGCCCTCCTCCCCCGGCCTAGTCGCTCACGAGAGGGCTGCTTCTCCTGACCGACAACTGACAAGCTCAAGACTCCCTATTGTACGGCCCGAGCCAGGACAAAAGATTGCCCCGATCCGGACCCAGGCCCGGTCGGCCACCATTCTCCCCAACTTCGTGGGGCTCAAGTTCCAGGTGCACAACGGCAAGGTCTACCATGACGTGACCATTACCGAGGAGATGGTGGGACATAAGCTCGGCGAGTTTTCAACGTACACAACATTCCGTCAAGAAAGCATGGGCACGGGAATGTGGGAGCTGACTATGTATTGGACCATAGGACCCGAAAACCATTCATCTGGGGCAAGAAGAAATAGAAGACTGCGCTCCCGTTTGGGACGTGATGATACCCTGTACAACTGCTGTATCAATAGCACGGAGCGACACCGTTTATGTCGCGGGCCAAGCAGAAGAACTGGCGAGCCAACGTCCCGCTGGCATCATCACCAAGGATTAACTTCGGCCTGGCCAAGTATATGAGGAAGAAGAATGGTCAAGAGAACCGCAGAACCAAATAATAAACCTTTCGCTTGTAAGCAATCAACTACCAAGAAATAAGATGGCCGATCCCGTGGTCCTTTCCCATGGTAGATACAGGACTCCCTACCGAAAAAAAAAACGCCTGGCCCTCCATGCTTGTTTCCAAACGCCTGTGTTGTGTGACCCGCTTATTGACTCGGTAAAATTTACTCCGTATGCCCATGCCAATCGATGTGCCGCTTGCCCATTTCATGACTACACACCCCAGAGTCTAGCGGTAAAACTCGCTTCTCTTGACATTCACCCCGAACTCGCCAACGGCCATGCCCAAGTCCTCCATGGTGAGCACCGTCCTGTTCTGCTGACTACCCTGTCCACCACCACCGTAGCCTGGCCTCTGGATGCCCAAAGGCCCGCCCCTACCCTGATCCTTGGCCCCAGGCTGATTTGCCGGCTGTCCTGGGATGGGGAAACCAGCCGCGGCGCCCAGGTTGCCCATGGGGTTGTTGGCACTGGTGTTGCTTGCGCGAATGCGGCTGTATTGATAAGCATCGGCAGCAATGTCGGCGATGAATTTCTGCGTGGCAAGCGCTAAGAGGCGGGCGAGCCTTTGGTCGGTCTGCGGTGGAGGCGGGAGGCCGGCTCGGGTCATGTAGTAGTTGGTCACTGCATCGGGGATCTGTGGTGAAGCAAGGTCAGACACAGGGAATGAATTGGACTCCGAAGGGGGTGGTATACGTACAATGGGAGCGTAGTCGTCCATTTTGTTCAAGAATTCCTTGAGCGAAGCATCTTTCCTCAATGGAGTCTTCGCCTCGAGGAGGGGCGGGACGACGGGCCCTCCCTCCACGGCTCCCACGGCAGCCTCGCCAGTCGCTGTCGCATTCGTAGGTGGTGGTTGCGTGCCGTTGGGCTGTGTGGATGCGGACGCACTCTGGTCGGGATTCTCGGTTGGTTGAGTGCCGGTCGCCATCTTCAATTGCTCTAGGTTATGATTGCGGGTTGTTCAGACGCCGCGACAGCAATGAATTGTCGAAAGTCTAAATGGATCTCCCGATTCGAAGCCCGCAGTGAAAGCGCGCGCGCCGGGCAAAGGCGCGATGGAGTGATTTGGTTACCGTGTATGTCGATTGTACCGTACGTTACGTATGGGAAGAAAGAAAATGCCGGACAGCCCGATCGTCGTTGGGATGGGAGAGAGAGAGAGAGAGAGAGAGAGAAAGAGCTTGGGACTTGAGAAGGTGCGTGGTTGCAAAGTACAGTGTTCAGCGGCAACCTCTCACAGTGCACCCGCACCGTGCCAGCCTCTTTGCTCCCCTCCAGCAGCACACTACACCCGCTAGGAGACAGGAGAGATGATATGGATCATGTTGGCTACTCAGATAGCTGCCCAGACTATTTAATGCATTTGCCCTTTTCTGCCTTTTCTTTACACTTGGTCATTTATTCATACAAAATTCGGCACATCCTGCCCTACTTGCACCAGCCATCAGCGACGCTTGCCCCTCTTGCTCGTGGCGGGCATGGTCTCAAAGGCATCATCATCCTCTGAAATCTCATCGTCACTGATCTCGATCGCCTTTTGCGTCACCCTGGCCGGTTTTTGGGGACTGCGAGGCAAAGTTGAGTGTGGTTTGCCGAGTGCTTTTGGTAGCGCCCCGTGTAGCATGTGTCGAGGGGTGGAGGTGGCTCAAAATCCATCGTCCTCCATGATCACGTCTTCTTCTTAGTAGCTGTCCTCGAAGGGGTTGCCCTTTTAAGAAATCGTGCAGCTGCTTTGGCAGTACTAGTAGTGGCTTTAT